AATCGGGATGGGTGTGTCAGAGGCAATGCGATTGGCACAGGATAGAGCAGGGTTTAGGGCTGTTGTACATAGGGTTGCTATGAGTTGCAAACGACTCGATGGCACATAACAACAGCAATTATATATATACATGTTGTTGTGTTGTTATGTGCTGTTGAGTTGCCTACGATTCATAGCGACCCTATGTACAACAGCCCTAAAGTTCAAAGGCATCAATTCTCCTTCTTTCATCCATAGTCATTGTCCAGCTCTCTGATACATAGTAAGTGATTGCAAAGACCATATCCTGTATCAGGCATACCTTAGTCTCCAGAGTGACACCATTGCTCTTCAGTACTTTGGAGCGGTCCCTAACAGCTTACTTTCCCATTGCAATACGTCTTTTAATTTTCTGGCTGCTGGTACCAAGAATGTTGACTGTGGAGCCAAGCAAACTAAAGCTGCTAACAATCTCAACCTCTTCACAGTCCATCCTAATGTTGCCAATTGGTCGAGTGGTGAGAATCTTTGTCTTCTTGATATTGAGCTTCAATCCATCTTTAAGGCTGAGGTTCCTGACCTTCTGCAGCAAGTGCTTCAGATCCTCTTCAGTTTCAGTGTCATCTGCATAACTTAGATTGTTAATAGATCTTCCACCAATCCTGTTGCCACATTTCTCCTCATAGAGCCCAACCTCCTGGATAAACTGTTCTGCATATAGATTGAAAAGGTACAGAGATAAGGCACATTCCTGGTGTACACCCTTCCCAATTTTGAACCATACAGTGTTTCCTTGCTGTGTTCTGATGATTGCCTCCGGGCCAAAGTATAGGTTTCGCATTGGCACGATCAAGTGTTCTGGGATTCCCATTCTTCTCAGAGTCAGCCACAGTTTGTTATGATCCACACAGTCAAATACCTTGGCATAATCAATGAAACACAGATAGACATTCTTCTGGTACTCCATGCTTTCAGCCAAGATCCATCTAAGATAGATAAGACCAGAACCTTGTGGAAATTTTCCATTTTTTAGGCAAGAGGATACAGAGAAGTCTGAGAAGGAAGAATCTTAGAAAGGAAGGCAAGTAGAATTAAATGACATAGAGGATAGATGATGCTTGTTTTGATAGAGTGGTAACCTATTCTGGAAAAGAATTCCAGAGAAGTAGTAGAGATAAAAACCCTAACAATAGATGTTTTCATTTGGCAGTGGGAGGTCATCGTCAACTTTCTAGAAAACAGATTCAAAAGAGATGTATCATTAAAGAAATTAAAAAAAAATTGACAAAGATGTGAAAGTAGGAGAAAGAAAGAGACACAGATACTTGTAACTTGACATGTATTCATAGGGAAAGATTTTTCAAAAAATCTATAGATGAAGGAACAGTGAAATATTTGTAACATATTACACAATACACAACATGGGAAAGTCTACTGGGCTTATGCTAGTGAAATAACTCAGTCAAAAAGGGACAAATACTGCATAAAACAGCTACTGTGAAAAAATAGAAGATAGTTAAGCAAGAAATTTATAAGTGTTCAAAAGGTCTGTAGAAATCACTAGGATAACAGAGGATAGTGGATAGATGGGAGGGTGAAGGAATAGGAAAGTTACAATAGAGATTTGGAGAGATAGGGCAATAAAAGGCATAGATTGATAGTGATTACATAACAGAATGAAATACAATATATGCTAATATGATATATATTAATACAGTATATACTAGTGATTAGAAAAATGTATATGAATGAAAAAATGTATGATTGTACAAAAAAAAATTAGATACAATGTCAAAAAGAATCAGAAACAATATCAAAATAAAGACAAACTAAACATAATAAACAGTATTTTCCTCCTGAAATAAAAGCTATAAATGAAGGGCACCTATCCAATGCATAAATTATAACTGATAGAATAATGTCCCTGGAGAGGTAGGCAAAGATAAATTCTAGGATGTAATGGAAAAGGATAATTGTGGAGAGGATAAGAATGTGGAGAAATCCCTTCCAAGAATTTGAGTGGAAAAGATGGAGAATATTGTGGTATAGCCCATGATATATCATGTCACAGATCTAAAGGTCAGCAATTTGAATACCCCAGCCATTCCACAGCAAAAAAGGTGAGAAGTCTATACTATAAAGATTTATAGCCTTAAAAATGCAATGAAATTCTGTTGTAAGTAGAACTGATTTGATGGCAAGGTTTTATTTTTAGTTTTCATGTCTCATGCATCATTTGTCTTAGAAGTAGAGTATGGAGTAAGAAAATTAATTTTGTTGACACAAATGTCCAGCTGGTGGCCTCGTGGCAGGAAACTGCGCCAAAAACATGTGGTTTGAATCTACCCGCTGCTCCATGGGAGAAATACGGGCAGTCTTCTCCCATGTGAGTAACTGCTTCTGAAAACCTGCCAGAGGGTCAAGTATAACAATAACAACAACAACTTGAATACATGTGATCCTTATCTACTCTTATCCAGTAGCCATACAGAAAACTTATTTTATAATGTTTATTTCTTATTTTGTAGGGATGTTTCATTTCTGTATGATGTGAGATGTGTAAAAGGAGAGATTAGAGAGAATGCGGTTTGTCCCCCACGCACAGATCATTCATTACAGTCACAAGATGGTCTCATTGTGCCACATAAGGTAAAGTATCTGACAGTACATTTTTCTCTTCTATTTAAAAAAATTTCCCTCAAAATATAAAGCAATGTCTTAATGTGACAACTGGCTTCATTGTTTATTAGTCTTCATAACACTTTATAATTATTTCTAAAAAAATAGTGTTTAATTGGAGAAAAAAACAAAGATATTTTAAGCCATTTTCTAAATATCAGTTATGCATTTTAATCTTGAAAATATAGTTTAGGAAACTAGATTTGTTTTTAATTGTTGTTCTTATTATGTGCCCTTGAGTCACTTGTGACTCATAGTGACCCTATGTACGGCTCTGAACCTTGCTCTATCCTGAGCTGACCTTATCTGACACATCTACCCTCATAACCCCAGTCACTGAATCAATCCATCTCATCGAGGGTCTTCCACCCTCCCAAGCATGATGTTCCTCTCCAAGGACTGGTTCCTCCTTGCATCATGCCCAAAGTATGTCAGATGAAGCCTCAGAATTCTTGCCTCCGAGGAGCAGCGTGGTTTCACCCTCTCTAGGATGAACCTGTTTGTTCTCCTAGCAGTGCATTCAGTACTCTTCTCCAGCACCACAACTCAAAGGCGTCTGTTCTTTTTTCTGTCATCCCTAGTCATTGTCCAGCTTTCTGATGCATAGCAAGCAATTGCAAAGACCATGGTCTGGATCAGGCACACACTTTACTATCCAGACTAACATGGTTGCTCTTCAGTACTCTGAAGAGGTCCCTGGCAGCAGACTTTCCTAATGCAACTAGTCTTTTGATTTCCTGGCTGTTGGTACCAAAAGTATTGATTGTGGAGCCAAGTAAACTAACATAGTTAACGATCTCAATCTCATCACTATCTATCATGATGCTACCAATCTACCCAGTGGTAAGAATCTTTGTTATCTTGATGTTGAGCTTCAATCCATATTGAAGGTGACAGTCCTTGACCTTCTGCAGCAAGTGCTTCAGGTCCTCCTCAGTTTCAGCAAGGAAGGTTGTGTCGTCTGCATAATGGAGGTTATTGATGATTCTTCCTCCAATTCTGATGCCACGTTCCTCCTCACAGAGCCCAGCCCTCTGTATGATCTGTTCTGTATATAGATTGAAAAGATATCGAGATAGGTCCTATCCCTGGCATACACCTTCCCAATTTTGAACCATGCAATGTTTCCTTGCTCTGTTCTGATGACTGTCTCTTGGTTCAAGTATAGGTTTCGCATAAGCATGATCAAATGTTCTGGGATTCTCATTCTTTCAGAGCTGGACACAGTTTGTTGTAATCCACACAGTCAAATGTCTTTGCATAGTCAGTGAAACACAGATATTCCTCTGATACTCTCTGCTTTCAGCTAAGATCCATCCAACATTAGCTATAACAGCCCTAGTGCCATGGCCTCTTCTAAACCCAGCCTGCACATCTGACAGTTCTCTGTTGATACTGATGTTCCAGTAATTTTTGGATAATTTTCAGCAGAATTTTTCTTACATGTGATATTAATGATATTGTTTGGTAATTTCTGTACTGTGTTAGGTCACCTTTCTTTGGAATGGGAACAAATATGGATCTCTTCTAGTCAGGTGATTATTCTTCAGATTTCTTGGCACAACTTGTTGAGCACATCCAGCGCAGTGTTTGTTAGTTGAAATATGTCAATTGGTATGCCGTCAATTCCTGGGGCCTTTTTTTTGCCAATTTCTTCAGAGCAGCTTGAATATCCTTCATCTCAAAGGCTCTTGCTCAGATGTTGTTTCGTGAAATTCTTCTGTGTCAGCCAACTTTGACCTTGAGTCTATCCCACTTGAATTTCAGAACCTTTCAGGAACAGGTTTGAGTCCTTAAACACTAATGAGAGAAGACCAAATGAGCTGTGGGAAGGTATCAAGAAAATCATCTATGAAGAATGCAAAAGGTTATTACAAAGACAGAAGAGGAAAAAAAGGCCAAGATGGATGTCAGAAGAGACTTTGAATATTGCATTAGAGCACCGAGAAGCTAAAGCAAAGGGGAGAAATAAAGAAATAAGGGAGCTAAAAAGAAGATTTCAAAGGACAGCATGAGAAAGCAAAGTATTATGATGAAATGTGCAAAGAACTGGGTCATAAAATCAAAAGGGCCAAACTCGCTCAGCATTTCTTATGCTAAGGATCTGAGGAACAAATTCAAGCCTCGGGTTGCAATATTTAAGGATGCTTTGGGCAGAATATTAAACGATCTGGGAAGCATTTAAAGAAGATGGAAAGATTATACGGAGTCACTGTTGTTGTTAGGTGCCATTAAGTCAACTAAGACTAATAGTGACTCAGGGAACAACATATCTGAACTTTGTCCTCACCATTCACTCTGTTTTGGATATTCTCCAGTCCATTGTTTCATTCACTGTTTAAAGTCACTGTTTCAATGTATCTTATTGAGAGTCTTTGTTTTTATGTTGTTGTTAGGTGCTGTGGAGTTGAGTACAAATCATAGTAAACCTAAGAACGGCTGACCTGAACCCTGGCCTATCTTGTACTATCCTTATCATCTCTGATAACACTAGAGCCCATTGCTTAAGCCACTGTATTAGTCCATCTCGCTGAGAGTTTTCTTCTCCTTCACTGACACTCCATGTTTCCAAGCATGGTGTCCTTTCCAAGCAATAGCCCTGCCTTGCTACATGTCCAAAGTACGAAATACAAAGCTTTCCCATGTTTGCTTCAAAGGAGCACTCTGGCTGTACCTCCTTCAACACATATCTCTTGGCTCTTATGGCAGTCCATGGGATGGATATTCAGTACTTTCTAGAACTACAACTCAAAGGCATCAATTCTTCTTTCATCCTTATTCATTGTCCAGCTCTCTGATGCATAACGGGTGATTGAGAAGACCATGGCCTAAATCAGGTGCACCTTAGTCTTCAAATTGACATCATTGCTCTTCAGCTTTTTTGTCAAGGTCCCTGAACTATAGACTTTCCAATGCACTACATCATCTGATTTTCTGACTGCTGGTACTAAGGGTGTTGATTGTTCCAAACAAAATGAAATCACTGACAGCTTCAATCCTTTCACTATCTATCATAATGTTGACTGTTGGTCTTGTGGTGAAGACCTTTGTTTTATTGATGTTGAGATGCAATACATATCAAAGACTGTAGTGTTTCATATCCTACTCACGTTCAGCAAGCAAAGTTGTGTCATCTGCATAATGCATGCTGTTATGAGAGTCTTCCTCCAACCCTGATGCCACACTCTTCTTTGTAGAGTCCAGCTTCACAAATTATTTGCTCAACATATGGATTGAAGAGATATGGAGAAAGGATGCAACCCTGATGTACATTCTTCTTGATTTTAAACCATGCAGTGTTCTACTGCTCCATTTGGACAACAACTTCTTGATGGAGGTATAGATTTCTCATGAGCACAACTGAGTGTTCTGGCATTCCCATTCTTCTCAATGTTAGCCATAATTTGTTATGATCCACACAGTCAAATGCCTTTGCATAGTCAATAAAATACAAATAGACATTTTTCTCGTATTCTCTGATTTCAACTGTGATCCCTCTAACATCAGTATTGATAATGAACTTCTGGCAGTTCTCTGTCAATGGACTGTCCTAACTGATTTTGGATGATCATCAGGAATATTTTGCTTGTTTGTGATATTAATGTTACTTTTTGATAATTATCACATTCTGTTGGATTGCCTTTTGTGGGAATGGGAATAAATATTGATCTCCTCCAAACAATCAGACAGGTAGCTGTCTTCTAAATTTCCTGGAATAAGCTGATAAGCAAATCCAGGGCTACATCTGTTACCTGAAACACGTCAGTTGTTATTCTATCAATTCCTGGGGCCTTATTTTTTGCCAGTGCCTTCAATGCATCTTGAATTTCCTCCATTGGCTATTATTCATATGATGTTGTTGTTGTTGTTGTTATGTGCCGTCAAGTAAACTGTGGCTCATAGTGACCGTATGTACAACAACCCTAAACCCTGCTCTATCCCTTGCCAATCTTATTGTCTCTGACACACCTATCCCATTACCCCAGTGACTGAATCAATTAATCTCATTGAGGTTCTTGCTCTCCTGCACTGTCCCTCCACCCTCCCAACTATGACATCCCTCTCCAAGGACTTATCCCACTTTGCAACATGTCCAAAGTATATCAGACGAGGCTTTAGAGTCCCTGCCTTCAAGGAACAACCTGGCTTCACCCTCTCCAGGACAAACTTGTTTGCTGTCTTAGCAGTCCATGATATATTCAGTACTCTTCTCCAGCACCAAAGGTCAAAGACATCAACTCTCTTTCTATCATCCCTAGTCATTGTCCAGCTCTCTGATGCATAACAAGTGATTGCAAAGACCATGACCTGTAGCAGGCAAACCTTAGTCTCCAAACTGACATCGTTGCTCTTCAGTACTTTGGGGAGTTCTCAGACAGCAGACTTTTTCAATGTAATTAATCTTTTAATTTCCTGGCTGCTGATACCAAGAGTGTTGATTGTAGAGCCAAACAAACTGATGCTGTCAACAATCTCAATCTCTTCACCATCTATCATGATGCTGCTAATTGGCCCAGTGGTGAGAATCTTTGTTTTCTTGATGTTGAACTTCAATTCATACTGAAGATTGCAATCCTTGACCTTCTGCAGCAAGTGCTTCAGGTCCTTCTCAGTTTCAGCAAGGTTGTGTCATCTGCATAATGCAGATTGTTGATCCTGATGCCATACTTCTACTGATAGAGCCCAGCTTCCCAGATAATCTGTTCTGCATGTAGTTTACAAAGATATGGAGATAGGACACATCCTTGATGCATACCCTTCCCAATTTTGAACCATTCAGTGTTTACTTGCTCTGTTCTGATGACCCTCCTGGTCCAAGAATAGGTTTCACAAAAGCTCAATCAAGTATTCTGGGATTCCTATTCTTCTCAGAGTCAGCCACAGTTTGTTGTGATCCACACAGTCAAATGCCTTTGCATAGGCAATGAAACACAGATAGACATTCCTCTGGTACTCTCTGCTTTCAGTCAAGATTCATCTTACTTAGCTATAATATCCCTAGTAACACAGCCTTTTTTAAATCCAGCCTGCACTCAGGCAGTTCCAGTTGTTTTTGGATAATCTTCAGCAGAATCTTGCTTGCATGTGATATCAATGATAGATACTGTTTGATAATGATAACACTCTGTTGATCACCTTTCTTTGGAATGGGAACAAATATACATATCTTCCAGTCAGTTGGCCAGGTGGTTGCCCTCCATATTTCTTGGCACAACTTAGTGAGAACATCCAGGGCAGCGTCTGTTTGTTAAAATATGTCAGTCAGTATGCCATCAATTCCTGTTTGCCAATTCTTTCAGAGAAGTTTAAACTTCTTCCTTCATCACCACAGGTTCATACGTTGTTTAATTAAATTTTTGTCAGCAAATTTCTTTTGGTATATTGACTCTATATACTCTTTCCATCTTCTTTTAATGTTTCCTGGATCATTTAATTTTCTGCCCAAAACACCCTTAAGTATTGCAACTCAAGGTTTGAATTTGTTCTTCAGTTCCTTCAGCTTAAGAAATGCTGAGCGAATTTGGCCCTTTTGATTAACTGACCCTCCAGAGGGTTTTCAGAGACAGTTAATCACATAGGAGGAGATTGTCCATACCTCTCCTGTAGAGCAGCTGGTGGCCTTAAACTTTGTGCCTTCAGGATTGTGGTTCAGCTTCTTGCCACTAGTTTTAATTTTCTCCAGCTTCAATTACATTTCCCATGAGTTATTGATGATCTCTTTCACAGTCAGCACCTGGTATGGTTTTGACTGCTAATATTGCGCTTCTCCAATGATTCTTTCTGCAAATATAGTCCATGTGATTCCTGTGAAGTCTATCAGGTTCATGTGTAAAGTTGTTGTTTGTGTTTTTTATAAAAGGTATTTGCTATGATTAAATAATTGGGCACACGAAATTCTAACATTCAGTCTCCAGCCTCATTTCTGTCAGTAAGTCTGTACTTTTCCAACTACCATTCCTTCCTTATTGTTTCCAACTTTTGCATTCCTGTCACCAAGAATTATTAGTATATCTTGATTGCATGTTTGGTCAATTTCAGATGGCAAATATTGGTAGAACTTCTCTATGTCGTCATCTTTAGCTTTCGTTGTTGGTACATATAGTCATATTAATAGATCTTCTTAGTATGTGTATGGATCTATCCTATGACTCACAGCGTTAAATTTCAGGATGGATCTTCACATTACCTTTTAAAATATCAAAGCAATATCATTATTCCTTAGTTTTTTATTCCCAGCATAGTAGACCATATAAAGTTGCCCCATGCTAATCCGTCTGAGTTCACTGATACCAAAAATGTCAATCTTCATACATTCCATTTCATTTTTTAAAACTTCCAATTTTCCTACATTCATACTTCATATATTCATTTTCCAGGTCTTAATGGTTTATACTCATTTTTTAGTGACTTCCTATCCAGAATCTACCTCTAGTACTATAACTACCTACATTCCTTTGTTCATAGGGTTTTCAAATGCCCTTTTTTTTTTCTCAGAAGTTGATTGTAAATCCTTCTTTTTAGTCTGTCTTATTTTAGTATCTCTGTTACAACCTCTTCTGCATGGGTGGCTGTAAAAAGAGCAAGGGCCATGTGGGGATGGCCATATCTGATCTTTACCAACTTCACAAAGAGGAGCTGTCCCCATCAACAGCATCAACAACACAAAATCAACTCTCAAGAGATCAGACATATTTCCTGTACCCCTTTCTACTCATCTGAACACCATTGTTACTGCTTTACTGGATCCAAAATCCAATATGACAGACCTCACAGAACCCTATTGGGGAAGTAAAAAGGCTATATTCCAAATTAGTAGCAGAATAGAGCCAGGACAGCTTCCAAAATGTGCATGCATGCAGATACCTCAGTTGTGAGCTTTATACCAGTGTTGAAATGTTCTCACTCCTGCAAATTATAGCCTTCTACCCTCAGTTGTCGAATGAACTTGGGCAAAGGCTCTTAGCTCCAGTCCCAGTGATGTAGCAGTCCCAAGGTCTCATCTCATGTCAGGCCTCTGGTTTTCCACTGTGGCTACTATGGCTGCTGCTCCCATAGAACCTTCTGGTCTGTTTGGCTCTGAAGGACACATTACATTCTCTTGCATCTTCTTTTGCTGGTAAGGAAGGTCTTTCTCCTACTGCTGGATCTGCTCAATTTAATGGTGAGACTAGCCAATCCTCTTGTGGATAGGGTAACATGCCCTATTCACTTCTTCCCACCCATCCATATGGTAAAGTCAGAATCACTGGCAAGAAAGCCATTTGGAACACTAAACTTTACATTTTCTTTACAGTGATCCTCTGGTACTTGAGACACTGGTAGCACAGATTCCAGCATTACGGTACCCCACAAGCTACCCCAGTACTGACAGATAAGTGCTGTACTAACAGGAGTACATGATAACCAAACCTATACACATCTAAGATAAGAAGTAATTGGCAGCATACTAACTATTCTCTAATAAATGAACTGAAAGATAGGTGTTGCATTTCTAAAAGCAAATGGTAAAGACTACTAGGCATTCAAATATGGCACAAGATACTCTTTTAAACCCCACCTGAGGCCCGTGGGTACATGACAGGATGGGGTCCTAGATGGCGGTTTTAATACAGACAGTGGCTCAGCTGAACCTTTAATACTGGTTCTTAGCATAAGCACAGAGGCACCAGGCCTGGCCCTACCTGTTTGCTTATCACTCTCGGACCTCTGCTTTGGGCATCAGGCCTCTCAGAAGAGATACAACTGGCCTCTGCATCGCTGCAGACCTTTGCACAAGGCCTGTGGGTCCATGGAGGGGGCCTTACTTGCTTGCTTCCTTATTTTTATTAGACACACACAAATATAGTAGAATTTTAAAGACCTTACTCAGGTGAATTTTAAGTTTCTTATTGACTTTAAAGGAAAATAATTTCTGGGTATAGAAAATACATATAACTGATACTGAAACCCAGGTTGTTTTTCAACTTGTTTTTTTTTTTTTTAAAGTAAGTATGTTCTCAGGCCCTCCTCAGTTTTAACAAGCAGGGTTGTGTCCTTTGCATAACACAGATTGTTGATAGATCTTCCACCAATTATGATGTCATACTTATCATAGAGCCCAGCCTCTTGGATAATCTGCTCTGCATACAGGTTGAAAAGTTATAGAGCTAGGACACATCACTGGCATACGCCTTTCCCAATTCTGAACCATGCAGTGTTTTCTTGCTCTGTTCTGACGACTGCCTCTTGGCCCAAGTATAGGTTTCACATTAGCACGATCTGGCACTCCCATCCTTCTCAGAGTCAGCCACAGTTTGTTATGATACACACAGTCAAACACCTTTGCATAATCAATGAAACACAGATAGACATTCTTCTGGTACTCCCTGCTTTCAGCTAAGATCCATCTAACATTAGCTACAATATCCCTAGTACCACGACCCCTTCTAAACCCAGCCCGGACTTCTGGCAGTTCTCTGCTGATGTGCTGTTCCAGTCATTTTTGGATAATCTTCAGTAGAATCTTGCTTGCATGTGAAATCAATGATATTGTTCTATAGTTTCCACACTCTGTTGTGTCACCCTTCTTTGAAATAGGAATAAATATAGATCTCTCAGTCAGTTGGCCAATTGGTTGTTCTCCAGATTTCTTGGTACAACTTGGTGAGCACATCCAAGGCAGCATCTGTTAGCTGAAATACATCATTTGGTATACCATCTATTCCTGGGGTCTTATTTTTTGCTATTTCCTTCAAAGCAGCTTGAACTTCTTCCTTCATCACTATAGGCTCTTGTTCATATCCTGTTATGAAATTCTTCTTTGTCTGCCAATTCTTTTTGATACAGTGACTCAGTATATTCTTTCTATCTTCTTTTAATTCTTCCTGGATCATTTAATATTCTGTCTAAAGCATTCTTGATTTTAGCAGCTTGAGGTTTGAATTTGTTCTTCAGTTTCTTGAGCTTAAGAAATGCTGAACGAGTTTGACCCTTTTGATTTTCTGACTCCAGTTCTTTGCACATTTCATTTTAATATTTTGCTTTGTCATCCCATGCTGCCTTTTGAAATCTTCTATTCAGCTCTTTAGTATCTTGAATTATTCCTTGTGTTTTGGCTTCTCTGCACTCCAGTGCAATATTCAAGAGTTTCTTCTGACATCCATTTTGGTCTTTTTTTCTCTTCTGTCTTAATGACCGTTTGCGCTCTTCCTGTACGATACCTTTAACATCCTCCTACAACTCATTTGGTCTTGGCTCATTAGTATTCCAAGGCCTCAATCCTGTTCCTGAGATGGTTCTGAAATTCAGGTGGGATTAACTCAAAGTCATATTTTGGTTCCCATCAAGGACTGCAGCATTCAATATGGTTTCAGGCTCAATATCAAGAAGACAAAGATTCTCACCACTGGACCAATTGGCAGCATCAGGATGGATGGTGAAGAAATTGAGACTGTTAGCAACTTTAGTTTGCTTGGCTCCACAGTCAACACTCTTGGCACCAGTAGCCAGGAAATTAAAAGATATATTGCTATGGGAAAGTCTGCTGTTAGGGACCTCTCCAAAGTACTGAAGAGCAATAGTGTCTCTCTGGAGACTAAGGTGCATCTGATACAGGCCAT